GAGAGAGAGAGAGAGAGAGAGAGAGGGAGGGAGGGAGGGAGGGAGGGAGGGAGGGAGAAAGAGAGAGAGAGAGAGAGAGAGAGAGAGAGACAGAGAGAGACAGAGAGAGAGACAGAGAGAGAGAGAGGCAGGCGGGGGGGGGGAGTGGAGGCACGTAGGCACGGCCTCCCTTCTTGGGTCATTTTCTCCACATGGCGGTCAAGGAGCTGCTTGAACAGGATCTGGCCTGCTAGGCCCAGCTCCTTCCTTCCCAGGCCTCACCTGCTGCTTCCTCCCTCCCCCCACCACCCCCTAATCACTCTCTCCAAAGGACTTGGAGGGGAAGATGACTGGGAATGGGGTGGGGGGGGGAGGGGGCTGCTGCCAAGCCCTTTTCTTCCCCCGGCGTGTTTTATAACCCGGCATGTACTTTATTCTTTTTCTAAACACTACACTCTGGGTACAGGGCCCAGAGTTGCCATAGAAACACCTTTTAACTCCTGCTCACCCAGAAGTTTCCAAATCCCCCTCTCCCCCTTCCCCTCAAGCTGGCTGCAGAAAACGTCACCTGTGGCCTGGGATTTGAAGCTCAGGCCATGGGAGGGCGCTTTAAGGGCACTTCCCAACCGTTCAAAGCAATAAACACATCCTGGGCCATCTTTCTGACCCGGCTCAGCCTCCTGCCTCTGCACAGAGGGATGGCATGCAGGGCCAGGGAAGGAGGGGGAGCTGAACAGGGCTAACCAATGAACGGGCCAAAGAGCTGGCAAGCTCCGGGGGAATGGGCTAGGATGGGGCGAGATATAAGGAACTCCTTGCGGAAGGAGAGAAAGCGGGGAGGGGGAAGCCTCCTACCCGCACTCGGAGCCAGAAAGACTCAGAACAAAGCATAAATCTGAGCTGCCCCCTGCTTGCCAGCAGGGTGCTCCCAAAGAAAGCAAAGAGATTAACCCAGGGACCTGGGAATTCAAAGACAAGCTCAGCTCCAGGGACCCATGTCCAGAGCACATTAGGGCTCTTCTCCAGAAACACAGGAGAGCTGATGAACTTTCACAGGCCCAGCTAGGATGGTCCAGCCTCCATTTAACGCACTGGTTTGTTTAAGGGAATTTTTTTTCGGGGGGAAGCTTTATCCCTTAGCCACTGTTAGCTAAGATATAGAGGGGAGACTTCTTAAGGGAGGCATTGGATTAGACAGATGGAGGCAGTGGAGAACAATGATAAGGGTGCTGGATTTAGGTCATAAGACTTGGGTTTGAATCCTGCCCGTGTTTGTTAATGAACGTATATGATCTTGGGAAAGTTACTTTAACTCTGTTTGCCCATCTGTAAAATGAGACCAGAGGGCTTCCAAGTCTTCCCCCCCCACTATGTCTACAATCCCGTAAACATCTGGGCCTCAGTTTCTCTATCTGTAAAATAAGGGGGTTGAACTTAATGACCTCGGATGTCCCAGCTCTAGGATCCTACAATCTTGGGTGGCTTCTGACTTTCCTTTAGAGCCTGTGACTCAGTGGATTATTCTTATCTGTTAAAGATCTCTAAAGCAGTGTTATATTGTCATGAGAGTACTGGGCTTTTAGTCAGGAAGATCTGGGTTCAAATCCTGCCTTCGACAGCTTAGTCGAAGAACACATAAGCCTCAGCTGCAGCCTACGTAGATTATGGAGAAACAGCTGACTCTAGCATCAAAAAACCTGGCTGCTAATCCTGGTCTGGCACTTACTACCTGTATGACCTTGAGCAAGTCATTTCAACTGGGGGGGGGGGAGGTGGATTTGTCACCTCTAAAAGGATATGTTGGAGTAGAAGTCCTGTGAGGTCTGTTACCACTCTAAAGCTATCCTCCTATGATAACAAGAAGCTCTATAGCATCTAAAGATCAAAGATAAAGGGCTTTGCAAATCCCTTTAAAGTGCTGTTATCCAGGATGTCCCAAAAGACTGTTTCAAAGCCAGCCCTAGCTATCGTCACTGGGGAGTTCAGTTCCTTCCAGGGCGTGGTTTGTTGATTCGGCTGTTGTTTTAAATACATTTCATAAGTAGTTTCACAGAAGTCCCAAGCACCCTGAGCTCTGCATGGGAGGAAGGTAAACAGAGGAGGTGGTCTGGGGCCAAAGAAACCCCCCTGGGAAGCCAGATCCACCTGCTGCTTGAGGCCAAACCCAAACTGCCTGTTTGTGCCCCAAGTGATCACTCCTGTATACTGGCCTCGATTTCTCCTGGGCAGACCTCTCAGGGTCTTTCAAGAGTCCAGAAGCAAAGGGCGGGGGGTGGGGGGGGGGATACTTTAAAAAAAAAAAGGAAACTCCTATGAAATGCCTTTCCCACTCTCAGATCCTAACGGACTCTGAAGCCCTAATTCCCCAGCTTCTTCCTCACTAACACCAATTGGGCTTCTCTTGATTTTACAGACATAGACAATATGGCGCCCTCCACCCAGACACAATCTCTCCTCTTATTTTTCAAGGTCTTGGGAGTGGTACTGAGCTACTTTGGAAGGGATGGGGGAAGGAAGAGAGTCCCCAGTGGTTTGATTTTCTGCAAAAAGGAACTGGTAAATGATTTGGTACCAAGGGACTAGAGCACAAATCCTGGCTCTGCTTACTGCTCTGTGTAACCTTGGGACAAGTCCCTTGGCCTCAGTTTCCCTATCTGTAAAATGAATAGGCACAGCTAAATGGCACCCTTCTCTTAACCACCTGCTACAAGGCAGTCCGGGAAATATAAAATATTAGTCCCCACCCCACAAGGAGTTTACATTCTACCAGGTCACAAGGAAGGAGTTTCAGAGGCCATCTGATCCAATCCCCTCATTTTACAGATAGGGAAACTGAGTCCAAGAGGGATGAAGTGATTTGGCTAAGGTCGCATAGATCTATGATTCTATTCAGCATAAGTATTATCCCCTGGCATTGGGTACTCAAGTAGAGGCAGCAGCAGCATGGAAATACATTCCTTAGACACAGACACACACACATACACACACCACAAACCTGGCACAAAGCCTTTCCACCACCCCCCCAAAAAAAGAGGAGCTCTGCCATCCCCGAGAGCAATATAAGCATCAGTCTGGGGGTGGGGTCCCAAGAGCCCAAGGCTTTCCCAAGTGCCTCCAACTTGGAGCCACCTGGGATGATGCTGACAGCCATTCTCCCAAACCAGAGCTGGCTAACAGGTCCAACCTGCCACCCAATGATCGCCAAGCTCTCCTCTACCACACCCAGCACACTTGTTGACTAGCCCTCACAATGCCAACCTCATAGGCAAGGACACAGTGAGGATTTTCTTCTCCATCAGCACTCCTTCAATCTTCCCCCTAACCTGCTGGTTGCTTTGGTCCTCAAACACTTATTAAGGACCTACTATGTGCAAGGGCCCATCCAAAAACACCATAGTCCAAAACAAACTTCTCTCTCCCTTTTCCTTTACTCTCCTCCCTTAAGCTCAGAGGTCCCTCTACTCTTGTACCCTGGGGGAGAAAAGGACAGGAAAATAATAGAAGCTTTGCCAGCTCCCCAAACCTCTGAATAGTGCAGGCTTCCCAACGAGATTATCCCCAGCACTGGAGTTTTCTGGGCCACTCTCAGAGGCTCCAGATAACTGATTTTGCTTCCCCTTGCAAGATGCCTCTTTAGCCAGGAGGGAATCGCTAACCTTTACTCACCAAGAGACTTGCCCACCCTCCCCCATCCCAAGTCCAGAGCAACATTTTTAAAAGCCACAAACGAAATAGCTTAGATTTCTACAGCACCTAAAAGCATTAACCTTTAAGGGAGGGAAAGAGCAGTTACATCATTTAAACATTAAAACAAGCTTAGAAGCTAGGCGGTGCACTAGGATATTTATTCTTATTTGCTATATGGGGAAACTGAGGCTCGAGGAGTTGACCAGACAAGTGACACCCCCCCCCCTTCCAAACCTCTGTCCCCCGACTCCCAGGGCTGTTCTCCACCACACCCCATCCCACTCTCCTCAACCCACCACAAATAATACTGTCCATGACTTTTCCCAAGTTTGGGTAGGGTGATTGCCTCACGGTGAACACCTTTTGCTTGTTGTCAACACTCTGAAAAACAGTTCTGTGTTTATGTTTGAGGGGGTTGGGGGGGGGGAGTGGGGAAACATCCATCTGGTAGTTCACATTTCTACCATGGACCTAACTGCCCTTAGCATATCCCGGCACAGCAGTCTAGTCACTCTAGAGGTCTGCCTAAAGATTGACACGGAGCAATGCTCCCTCTCTGGAAGGGAACCACCATTCGAACCCCTAAAGGCTGCAAGTTCTCCCCTTTTGCAGGCCACTGTATTCTGCACAGAGCTGATTCAGTTTCCAGTAAAGAAGTCAACCTTCTTATCCCCTCCGCTCCAGGCTCCTAACATTTAAAGTTTTGGAAAACTATGACTCCCGCGGCCCCCCCCCCCATTCTTCCTGCAGGGCATTGTAGGAGAGAACTTTCCAGACGGCAGCAGGACCCAGAAGGAATCTCAAGTGCCCTGTGCCACCGGTCAGGGTGGGAAAGGAAACTGGATGAAGTGGGAAAGCAAAAATTTCAGACCTGAAGAGCTCTAGTTTGTGGGGGGCGGGGAGGGGGAGGGAAAGAAGAGGGAAGGAAGGAAAGAGAGGAGGGAATGAGCCCTTTATAGCCATCTACGAGTATGGAGGACCTTGAGAAAAATCAAGACCTCTCCACCATCCCACCACCGAAAGGGGACGTCTAGGCCAAAGGGGGGGATGTAGCCCTTAGTTGCCCACCCCCACATTCCCTTTGCCCCTTCTCCACCCTCCTGCCCTGGGCTGCAGCTGAAGAAGACAAGGAGAAGGGGGGAGCAAGGCAAAAGGGGACATCGAGGCAGAAGTGTGGATGCAACCCTAGGTGCCCACCCCCGCGTTTCCCTTCGCCCCCTCCACCCTCCTGCCCCGGGCTGCAGCTTAAGAAGGCAGGGAGAAGGTGGGAAGATGGGAGCCGGCTGAGAGTAGGAGAGCAGGCAGGGGAAGCCGGCTTCGGCGGCGTCTCTTACCGATGTCCGAGTTGCAGAAGGCGTCCTGGGGGTGACTCGGCGAACAAGTGCACGCATCCACCCCCAGCTCCCTCAGGCTCCAGCTGCTGAGAAGCACCACGAGACTGAGCCACGGGCTCATCGCGGCGCGCCCGGCTTCCCAACTCGCTGCACGCTTGGGCGCGGGCCGGGCTCAGGCTGGTCTCCTCCTCCTGTTCTTCCTCCTCCTCCTGTCTCCTGTCTCTCTCTCTCTCTCTCTCTCTCTCTCCCCCTCTCTCTCTCTCTCTCTCCCTCTCTCTCTCTCTCTCTCTCTCTCTCTCGCTCGCTCGCTCGCTCGCTCTCTCTCTCGCTCTCTCTCTCGCTCTCTCTCTCTCGCTCTCTCTCTCGCTCTCTCTCTCTCTCTCTCTCTCTCTCTCTCCTCCTATCCTTCTCTGGCTAAGTTGCTCGCAAACTTCCCTCCACCGCTCCCAGGCTGGTACCCGGCGTCTGCGCAGCCCGCGGGGTTGCGAGTCTGGGGCAGGACCGGACCGTCCGGCTGGAGAGAGCGAGCTCGGGGCTCTAGAGGGACAGAGGGAACTAGGGGAAGGCTGAGGCACAGGGCTGAGCACTGCGTGGAGAGGTTAAGACTCTACCGCGACCAAAAACGCATCCGTCCCAAAGCTCCGCCGGCCGCCGCCTTATATAGCCCGGGAGGCTCTGCGAGCCCCCCTCCTGCGGCCCGAGGTCCGCCCCCCCTGACCAATAGGCGAGCCGCATTACCTCATCGCCCCCCCGCGGAAAAGGGGGCCGCTGGAGAGGGGGCGGGGCCGCCCGGTACGCTTCAGATCCTTTTAGGGAATGCGGGAGTGTGCTGGCTGCCTGGGAGCGACCCAAGAAAGCCCTGCTCTCCCTCCCCGGTCTCTCTCCGCGCCTCCCCGGGGGGAGCTTGGGGCGGGAGCCCGAGCCAGGAGCCCCTCCGGGACGATTGCTGCCACCTGGAGAATCTCCCCTCCTCTCTCCTACGCGCCCTCACTGCCGAGCTTCCCCTTTCATCCATCCTGCTGGCCAGCAGGAGAGGTCGCCCCCAGACGGCGGGTCAGCCCCTAGCAGGGCAGGTCGCCCCGAGACTGCTAGCCAGCCCGCCCTAGACGTCCATCCCCGGGGGTGGGGGAGAGGGCTAGGCTAGTCGCCCCCGCGCTGCTCACTGCAGAGGGGTAGGGAGCTTCGGAGAAAGAATCGTCATCTCTCCACCTTCTCCAGGAGGGCTCACTAGAGTGAAGAGGAGCCCCGCAGCGATGGCCTCACCTGTTTCTTTCTGTTGGGGGGGGGTGGCAGGAATCCATCCGCCCATGGCCGGAACACAAATTGAGCGCTGAAAGGGACCGTAGAGGCCGTTTGGTAAAACCTCTTCGTTTTAGAGGTGAGGAAAAGGGAGATCCAGAAGGCTGTGACCTACCCAAGGTCACGCAGGTAGTAAATAGCAGAGGCAGGATTAGAACCCAGGTCACAGGATTATAGATTTACAGTTGGAAGGGACTTCATGGACATCTGGTCAAACACCTTCAATTTAAAGAGCAGGAAACTGACTTATCAAGTGATTTCCCATCGTCCCCCCCCAAAAAAAAAAAATCAGGTGTCAGTATAGTTGGTACGGTGAATATACCGCTGGATGATGGAGTCAAGAAGACCTGAATTCAAATCCTGCCTCAAATATTTAGCATGTATGACCCTCGGCAAAACTTAATCTTCTGAAGCCTCAGTCTCCTCATTTGTAAAATGGGGATATGGAGAAAGAAACAGCAAACCACTCCAGTATCTTTGCCAAGAAAACGCCAAATGGGGTCCCGAAGAGTCGAGGAAACCACTAAGTGAAAAATTAGGGATAGTAATAACACCTACTTCAAAAGAAAGACCAAATAAAATAAAGCATATGATGCACTTTGCAAACTTCAAAGCTATTTAAATGCTAGTCAATCAACAAACATTTATTAAGTATCCTGCCAGACTCTGTGCTACAAAGACAAAAACTAAACAGTGCCTGCCCTCAAGGAGCTTTCATGGTAATGGAGAGCCCGCACACATCAGATGGGTATATGGCAGACACGTACAACCGAGGCACAAAAGAACGAGCCGGAGAGGGAAAGTGAATTGTTCAGACAGTAGATTTCCAGATGGAAAGGGACTTTAGAGCCCATCTAGTTCAACAAATGAGGAAACTGAGGCACCAGTGGACACCTCCTCTCCTCCCCTCCCCTTTGCTGTCAGCTCAAATCTAATCGGTCAGTCAAGCTTTTAATACGTCTTAATGGTGCCCTTCGCACTAACAAAAGTGAAGCAGTCCCTGAAGATACAAGAGCATACGTATGGGCAAGATACATACCAAGCAAACACAGAGTAGCCTTGGATTGAGGAACCGGGAAACATTGCACCAGGCTCCAAGCCTTCCTTTTAGGATGGATGAAACATTTAATGATCACAGCTATGGAGGAAATATATCTGGGTATAAGAGACTTCATAGATGGACATCTGGAAGAGAGTTTAAAGACCATCCAGGCCAAGTCTTACGGTTTACAGATGAGGCTCAGTGACTTACCCAAGGTCACGTGTGTAGTTAGCTGCCAACCAAGGATTTGAAGTCAGACTTTCTGACCCCAGTTCAACATTCTCTCCTAGGTAGTATGCTGTGTTTTAATGAAAATGGATTTTAAACAGGGAAAACAGCTCAAAAACAGGGTAGGGGCCACATAAAACTAGACACAGGTCTCTACCTAAGGAAATAAAAAGAATTCAGTTCCTCATTACAGCCACCTGTAAATGGCAGGAGGCCTGGATTTGGAGTCAGATGACTTGGGTTCCAATACTAGCTCTGGTTTTTAGTATCCATGTGACCTTAGGCAAGTCACATTACCTCTATGGGTCACAATTTCCTCATATGAAAAGTGAGGGATTGGGCTAGTCTTTTAGGGTCCGTTCTAACTCTGATGTTCTTTGAGCCCAAATCTGGTATTTACCTAGACCTTAGATCTAGTAAACCAGCCAGGCTCCATTCAAAATGGGTAGATTAGCTGGTCCCAGGTAATGGGAAAAAATAGACTTTTAGCAAGCTCTCCATCTGACCAAGATGGAAAAAGTCTGTACCTTTCCACTCCCTTGCTCCTTTGGGAAATGACAGATATTTCTTCAGATGAAGAAATTATTGGAGTAACAACTCCTTCACCTTCCTCCCTCCCTCCAAAGAAAAAGACCTATTTAAAAAAAAAAAAGATTTTGATCCTACCACTGAATTATTTATCTGTATGACCTTGGAGAAATTATCTCACCTCCCTGGGACTCACTTTCCTCATCTGCACATAGTATCCCTTTGGACTATCCCCCCAACTATTCCCCAGGGTATGGTTACCCCACGTTATAGAGACTCTGTAGATCTGTACTCCTAAACCTACGGTAGCTCACGAGCCCCCACTGATATGTTGCCTTTTCAACAGTCAGCCAGAGGACACATTTAGCTGGAAACAAAGGCGTTTACTGAAATAACAGTAAGATTTACGATAGGACATTACTACCCCAAAAAACTTAGGGTGTGGTCTCCCCCAAACATATTAATAAGGGAAAGTGAGCAATAACATAGATCACACAGGAGGGGCCTACATGAGGTTAACAGCAGTGCATGGTCAATTCATATGTGGGACACTGCAGGGCTTTGATGCCCTTTCATAAGGTCCTGGGAGCTGTGCTCAGCGTTCTGGGCCTGCTGTCAGCACGGCTTGTTGCTTCATGGGTCACCCTTAGTCTCTGCAATATCCGGCTTCTTCGGTGCCTCTAGATTTCGCCCACCCTTCAAGGCCCAGCTCAGGTCTTGCCTACTCCATGAAGCCTTGCTTCCCAGATATCCCTTCCCTCCCAAATTTACCTTGATGATGGAGATTTTACCCTGTCAATATTCTGAATGTGATAATTTATCGACATGTCATTTTCCCCCAATAGACTGCAAGCTCCACAAAGACAAGGACTGTTTCACTTTTGTCTAACAAAAGTGAATCTAACATATGCCTCTGTGTTTGTTGTTCTCGATTAGCCATTTCAGTTACGTCTGACTCTTCGTGATCCCATTTGGGGTTTTCTTGGCAAAGACACTGGAATGGTTTTCCATTTCCTTCTCCAGCTCATTTTACAGATGAGGAAACTGAGGCAACACTGAGGCCCTGCACATAGTAGGCACCTAATCAATGCTAGTTGATTGACTGAAAAAATGGTATCTGAATATGACGATGATGAGAGAAAGAGTATGATACACTGGAAAGCATGCCATATTTAGAGTCAAAGCCCTTGGATTCACATCCCTGCTAGCTTAGTGATCTTGGGAAATCACGTAATATCTCTGAGCTTCTGTAACCTCGTCTGCAAAATAAGGGGGTGTGTTCTTGCTCTGCTTCCGAGTTCCCTTCCAGCTCTGAAACTATGACCCTATGATCTCTAGCCTAGAGGTGAGAAGGCCTCAGGAAAAGACAGAAGATCTCCAAAAACAATTAAATAGATTCTTATACATATATAGATATATAGATAGAAATTGTATTTGGAGATCTTCTGTCTATATATATATTTATTTATTATATATTTGTATATTATTTTTATATATAAAAATAGCTTTTTGGGGGGAACCCTCTTTTTTTTCTTGTTTTTTTTTCATGGAAAAGAGGAAAATTGTGTTTCCAGAGTACTTTTTATTTGTTCTCTCCCCACCAAAGTTACTTCTTATCCAAAGCTTAGCTTAGCACCAGCTGGAATCCAGTAAACTTGCCTTCCATAGCCAAGTTTATCACTTAATTATTCTCTAGTGAGTTCATGTAGTCTTTTCTCCCCAACTACGTTGGAAACTCTTTGAGAGGAATTAGGGTGGTTGTGAATTTTATTGTGTTCCCCCATAGGACTCCGAAGAGTATTAGAATAGGTATTCGTGTGTATATACTCACATTTGTGTATATATGTACACGTGTACATATACACACATGTACATGCACATATGTATACATACACATATACAGATAGGTATGTGCATATACACGTACATGTATATACATGCATGCTAGATGGTGAAGTGGATAGAATGCTAGATCTGGAAGCAGGAAGACTCATCAAAACTGGCCTCTGACCTTTATTAGCTGTGTGACTCCGGACAAGTCACTTAACCCTCTTTGCCTCAGTTTCCTCATCTGTAAAATGAGCTGGAGAAGGCGAAACCACTCCAGTATCTTTGTCAAGAAAACCCCAAAAGGGGTCACGAAGAGTCAGACATAACTGGAAAA